GTATCTACATCTCCCACGACACCACTTGGACCAATGACAAGAGCTCAAGAAAAGGCTATCGAAGATAAGGTGAACTTGCTCCTCTCCGAACTTCCACTTTCTACTTATGAAACATGGCTACTACCTCATGCGGAGACCCTATGTGTGATCAGGTATTTGGAGGGAAGCCACGGACAAGACGGCGAGGACACCAAGTTCAATGGACAAGAAGAAGGACCGCTCGAAACTCCCAGTCATCGAACGGCCGACGTCTCTCAGACGCCTGACACCTGGAGGCTCCAACCGACCAGCCAAGTCCCAACCTTCGCACGCTACAGCGGCTGGACGACCAATGCCGACCGGACGTCCGACACCTCCCAGCGCCCGGACGACCGAGCCTCTCCGGACGACCGACACTACCACACTCGAGCCAAAACATCGGAAGAATGGAGACCTCCGAACGGCCGACCGACCCCGACCGGACGACCGACAAGTCCTGACCAGAGTCGAAACATCGGACGTCCAACCGGCACCAGACGTCCGGACCCACGCGAGCCTTCGGACGACCGGTGACCGTCGGACATCCGATGCCTGTGTGACCGCCCGCGTGTTGGGCCGAAGCCACTTATCCTTTCGTCCACTAAGACTATAAATAGACCTCCTCCGCCCTCTTTCTAGGGTTAGCATAGGTTTAGCTCATTTGAGATAGAGCTTTGCTCATCCATACGGATCTACTCCTCGTGAGAGACCGCGGCCTCTTCGGAGAAGATCCATCTTGGATTCAAGACCCCATTCATGGGATGACCCTCAAGACCTCCTCATTGAGATGAACTAGCTACTTGTATCGTCCTTTGTTGGATTTGAATCGTGTATCTCTTTGTGTTTCGAGGGTCTAGCACATGTGCGACCATATCTTGTTGGTTTGAGTGATTCTCTCGTGTTTCCCCTCGTGATTTCCCTCGCGTTTTCCCTCGTGTTCTTCGTGTTCTTCGTAGGATCCCCTCTAATTGTGAAAGATCGGGCATCTGGGGTTCTACCCTACATCACTGCCCCATGGACCTTCATCGCCGCCCCGTGGACTCGCCTCGCCACCGCCGTCCGTGGCTAGCACGGTCTCCTTCCCAATCCCTGCTTTCTCCAGTGTCCGGTCCTCCCGCACTTGCTGGTGTTGTGCTGCGTGCTTGATGTGTGTGTATTTGTTGCTGCGTGCGCTCGTGCTTGCTGCCCCGTGTGTGTGTGTGTTGTCTACTTGCGTATGCTGGCCGTTGGGTGCACCGGTGCTGGGCTGTTGTGCTCATGATGTTCTTGCATGCTGCTCGCCTGCTGATGTTGCTGCTAGGCAGTGAAAAGGGGCATGAAGGCAATAAATGGGATAGTATTTTCTAAATGGGATAGTATTTTCTATCTCATCTCACACATTCAATTATTCTGTTTTTACTGCATGGCATTTTATTAAATATCTATATATACTCGCCGTATTGCTGATTCTTGAAATTGCTGTATCCCATGTCCCCGTATCCGTATCGCCGTATCTGTGATGCCGTATCGGTGCTTCATAGGGTCTAACTAGTCAGGATAAATTTGATGTACCAAGTACTAACCTCATGCAATAGGTTGCAACCTTCACTTGACATGTAAAAGACGCGCTTGATGCTTGAAGGAAGTGCGGTGCATGAATTAGAGTCCTTTCCAAAAGAGAAAAACAAGAAAATAAAAATAAGATATTAGCAAGCATACGAGAAACCAGCAATTACGTACAGATAAAAGGAGGAAACGCAGAACACGAATATCACTTGAATGGGGCAAAACCATGACATTTGCAAGAAACTGTAGTAAAAGTTAGCACTCAACATCACCGTGACAGTTTGGAGCCTTAACTTAAAATACTTGAATCCTTTTCTTTTACAGCCAACAATAATAATTTCCTTGGTACATGAGCAGAGGTAAAAAATTATCAAGGCTCAACCACTTAAGGTGTATTTAAGAATATTTAAGCCAGTTGGCGCGAGTGAATATACAAACAACAACAACAACAAAGCCTTTAGTCCCAAACAAGTTGGGGTAGGCTAGAGGTGAAACCCATAAGATCTTGCGACCAACTCATGGTATGAGGCGCGTCGCTGAGAGGGTTACGCCCCAACGAAAATCTTTTGGGTTTCATCTCCATAAGAGTGGCTGAGTTTTTACGTTGGCTCGCCAAGCCTATCACAACCCTCCTTTACGCGAGTGAATATACACATTCTACTATTTTAGGTGCTTCCTTTTTTCCACTTGCACCTTTTTGTTTAGGCTGTGCTGGCTGTGGGGGTGAGCTGTAGTTGAACAGACTGAATTTTATGGATGATGTTTCCAGTGGACCGATTGCAGTTGTCATTCCGAGAATTTATTACCATGCAAAATCAGCTTCAGAATGTCACACGCCATTACACACTTTGTTAGGTGGAGAGATTGAAAAAGGTACTGGTAAAATGACAGTATTTGGACAGAGAAAGTAAGTGTATTCAATGTATACTTCCATTTGTCCTAATGAACAGGATGTCTAATATACACTTAGTACCCCTCCACAGAACTTGAACAAGATATCTACTTAATACCTCCACGGAACTTAAGTTAGGTATGAATAAAACATGAAACTGTTGGTTCAGACAGTAAACCTTGTTATTGGCTTATTGCAACAGAAATTCACAATAGATACTAACTTCTTCATAATTTAGTGTGAAGGGACAGTGGCCACGAGGAACTTCAATGCTATGGTGAAGAAATATGAAGGGAAAAAAAGGTTGAGATGATGCATGTCTGTCTCTTGAGATAAAAAAAGATTCCGCAAATACATATGGAAGAGTGCACAAAAATTGGGCCGTGTTTGGCTACTAACGATACAGCACCAAAGCCTGAAAATACCGGGTACTATTTATTATTTAGAGTACCTTGTCAACAACTTCTCTACGGCCATTGCTTGGATGTGATATTTCATTTTGGCCTCGGATAATAGTTCCATCCTGAAAATACAAAAATATTCAGAAGGAATGTTCCATATTAATAAAAGAAGTAAGATAACACTTATTGTTTAGGAACCCTCGAGTTGAAGCTGACTCGCCCTCCCCACGGGCGACTCGGGAGGCGACGCAACCCTCGAGCGCTCCCTCCCCTCCTTCTCCCCCTCCCCCTGCCGGTGCTCCCCGCCGGGCAAAGCCCTGCCAGATCCGGCAGCGGGACTTCGCTCCCAGGCGGGCTCCCCACTCGAGCGTGGGGCTCAACGAGGCTGACGGAGTTGTGCTTCTCCGGGCCTAGGGTTTTGCGACGGCGGCCCCAGATCCAGAGGGTCGGGCCTCTGGACCTGGCGTGGCGAGCACGCGGCCGGCGCGGCGCGACCCTTTGGGGGCGCGGCTGCGGCTGCTTGGCTGTGCCCCGGCAGATCCGTGTGGCGGAGGCTGCGGGCCGGTGCGGCGGCGGCAAAGGTGCAGGTGGCAGGTCCCCGCGACGGCGCCACTAGCCCTGCTCAACACGTACCCCTGCGGTGGCTGGCCTTGTTTAGAAGCCATCCGGCGGCTGCTGCACTGCGCTGGCCGGTGCTTCCCTACATCGACGGTGACGATACGTGGTTTCCCTCTCGGTGCTGGTGGTCCTCCCCGGCGATCTGCTTCCCCATCTCCTGTCTGCTCTGCTTCAGCGGTATTTGGGGTTCTGGTCTTGGGCCAGGGCAAGATCCCTGCGCGACGATGGCCGCCGTTACCTCCATGGAGGCGCTGTCATGGCCCGGACTGGACCCTCTCCTCGAGCACCGGGGAAAACCCTTGGTCCCGTTCACTGGACAAGGCAGCGACGGCGTCTCAGCGCCGTTCCCTTCTTGAAGGTGCTGCTTGGGTCGCACTTGGAGTCCCCGATGCAGCAGCTGGAGATGGTGGCCTCCCCGGTCTTTCCGGCAGGCTTGCTGGTAATGCGATGCTGTGATGAGGGCTGCAACATAGAGCGTGGGCGCCCGGGGCGCAATGTACGCTGGAGCCGGCATGTCCAAGACGATGGCTTCGCTGCTTCTGGCTGGGTCCTGCCATCCACCTGCCGTCTCCTAGGCACATATGGGTGGAAGGTACGTTGGCCCAGACAGACCTGGAGACGCGGTCTTCTTCGGAGGCGCCTGGCAACGGCTGTGACGCGGCTCTGAGGCTGAGTCTAGCTGCCCCACCATTTATGGTTGGACAAGGCAAGACCTTTCATCGTTGCGGTCTGTAGTTGGTAGCACCTCCTCACCTGCTTGTTTGGTGAGGACGATGGTGTGTGTGCGTGTGTCCCTCCTCCTGGGAGGTTGTACCTGTACTGCTGTTCTCTTCCTGTTCAATGAAATGAAACGCAAACTCTTTTGCATTTTCTCGAAAAACACTTATTGTTTAGTATCACTGGATGTTCTATTCACAGGAGTGATGTCGAAAATGAAAACAATCCGCCAGTTTCCACATGCAACAATGACTTTATTTTAAAAATAAAATTGAAGGGCCGCAGATAAATTGTCGCCAGCATGAGGGCAAGTAACAACTTGTATTGTGTGGAAGAAAACTTTGGTAGATTACCCATAATTCACACCCCAGAGTAAGCCTGTCATTTGTGGATATTACTGGAAGCACAAGACTTTCGGCAGGGATTTGTGACACACGTGAAAACAAAAAGATCGCAGCATCCAAAGACTGGAAGAATATGCGTGCGCCAGCAAAAAAGAAATTCCCAATGCTGCAAAAATATATGAAACAGCAGTCAGGGAAATAATTAGGCAAGCTGGGAGAAACAACAGTCAAATGATGCTCCCAATCCACTAGTAAAATGTAAGGTCACAAGCAACATTAGGTTATGTTTATGTGCATCATACCATTAAATATATACATCAGTTGTAAGAGGCAAACAGCGGTTTCATGTGGAAGCACAATGCCAAGAATAATGATTTACTGCAAAATTTCACCTTAGAAGAATCACCTGCCATTGGTGAAGCAAAATGTTTCAACTGGTCGCCGAAGGATCTGCGGAGAAGAAATTATGTCACAAATACAACAGGATTACATTGCGGTCACTAGCCTTATGAAAAAAATATTTTTTTCACAAAAACGACATGCTTCATAAATATACTAGAGGAGCACACCTCATTATGGAAGTAGACCAAAAATGCACGGATTGTTTCCCTGTAGGGACGAGAGACACCATCCCATAAAGAGTGTTCTCCTTCCACAATATTGTACCTATCGAATCAACAATTTAGCATCACTTGGTCACACGAGCAGGACAATAACTATAGCTAATTATCCAGTAAGGAAGTATGAAAAAAGGTATATTTTGATCAGCACTGGAGGGTTACTACCACTCCAGCTTTGCTTCTGAAGGATCAAGAGGCAAACGGTGCCCAAGTAATCTCCGGACGGAGAGTGCTTCCAAAGTGCTTTCATCGGACAGTCTCAAGCATCTTGATCTTATGTCACCCACAGCAGGTCCACCTAAGACATGAAGGCTAACGTTTAACATCAGAAAAGATTGGACTGTGATAGTTATGTTTAAATATATTATTTCAGGTTATAGAAGCAAGCAAATGATGATGTAGGAAATTTGGACTTACCAAGCACACGAACAATCTCAGCTGTGCTTCCACCATCATCAGAAACTGGTAGGACATGCGCAACCCGGGTAGTCACTTTCTTCAACTCTTCTACGACACCATTAAATGCTGTTCCACCTGGATCAAACCAAAAAGGTTATAACAATAATACGAATAAGTTTAGGTCCTCATCCTGTAAGATGAGATGAGAGTCAGCCAGAAAAGAACCGAAACAGGCAGCTTAGAACATATGGAGGCTACCATTGCCAAGTGCTGTTTTAAAAAGTGAAATATCAGTATGTTACTGAAATTCCTCTGATTGATAGAAGACACCCAATAGAACTATTTGGACATGTTTTCTCGAATACAACTGTTAACACAAAACACTTTTCTGTCTATGTGTATCCATGTCGTAACTGTCAAATAATGTCCATCGAACACTGTATGTTCAGAGACAACTTTGCTAGTCTCCCGACTCTCCCCGCAAACAGTAGTGAAGTATCCATGTCAAAAGTAGTAGTGCATACAAATATTGAAATATCAGACATGACAATCCCCCCCAAACCTCCAAATGTGAATACACTCGTACAGTCACGGCGGCTCGCCAATTGCAAGCAGGTTCGCTCGCGGATTTGCACCTATTCATCGTAGGCACACGGCACACCGGTGGCACGGCGACCTGGAAATGGCGGTTGTCCTAGCCCGTCGAATCCCAACCAATTCACGCGTGTCGCCAAGTGCCACATGCCAGCGCGCGCTGAAAACGACCGCGTACCCCCACCGATTACGCCGCGCGCACGCGCCACTGGCAACATCGCTCGTGAGAAGCGGAGAGTCACCTGAAAAGACGAGCAGGGACGGGGGAGCGGCGGCGGCATCGGCTCCGGTGGCGGCCATGGCGCGAGGGAGCCGGGAGGAGGAGGAGGAGGCGGCGGATCTCCCTGGTGCGCGGAGCCGGACCCGGAGGGAGCAGGTACCGGAAGAGGTGGCAGTGGCGGGGCCCGCGGTGGCCGCTGACGTGCGCGGCGTTATATAGGGTCGGGTGGCGAGGAGCGGCATCGGGCGGACGCCTGGACGGAGGAAGCTACAGCCGCGCCCGCAGCGCATCAAACAGCGAGCAACCGGAATCCGCGCGCTCTCTCCCTCCCTCTCGCCTGTCCGTGCATCCTCGTGCTCGCGCCACTCACCCTTACCTTTGCGGCCGTTCCGGGGATTGGGCGCGGTGACGTGGCAGCTGCACACTGGCCGTGAGACCGATCGATCAACGGCCAGGATATGGGCTCTGGGCTTGCATGGGTTATGGGCTCGATGATACATGCCAGTTTGGACTTTGAGCGGGCTATGGTCCAAAATTAGCACCGAAGTGTGGATTTAGCACCTGCTCCTTTTAGTCTCCTTTTAGTCCTAATTTAAGTGAAATCACTAATCAAAGGGTACTCCTTCCAAAGATTACTCCAAGGGTTGCGACAAGTGGCTGCGAGTTTTCACTTTTTTCGTAGATTCGTTTACTCAAAACGTTTTAACTCTTAAATCATGTGCCCAAATCTCAAACCGTTTTCACCGTTAGATTCCTCGTGTCGAGATCTTCAAAATAGATCCAATGTTCATAGGCTTTGACAAACTTTTTTCCAAAAAAAGCCTGGATGAAAAAACTGAATCGGGAGCACGTTTTGTTTTCCCTTTTCGAAAGCCGTTTCTGAGAGGCATGACCGTACCTCTCGCGGAAGCAAAACCATGTCTCTCACGAAAAAAAAACGCGTTTTTTCCCATTTTCAAGAGGCACGGCCGTGCCTCTCGTGGAATCAAAATCAGACCTCTCACGAAAAAAAACAGAAAACACATCTTTTTCGTTTTCGAGAGGCAATGACTATGCCTCTCGCGGAAGCAAAACTGTGCCTCTAATGGAAGAAAAAAAAGAACATATTTTTTTCTTTTCCAAGAGGCACGGTCGTGCCTAGCGCGAAGCAAAATCGTGGCTCTTATAAAAGAAAAAAACACGTTTTTTTCGTTTTCGAGAGGCACATCGCGGAAGCAAAACCGTGCCTCTCACGGAAAAAAAAAAGAAAAAACGCATTTTTTTCGTTTTCGAGCGGCATAGCCGTGCATTTCGCCGAAGCAAATATGTGTCTCTCCCGGAAGAAAAACCATGCCTCTCATGAAAGAAAAAAACGATTTTTGTGTCGAAAAGCCAAGAAAGACCGGTGAAAAATCACAAAGTCGAAAAAAACCATTAAAAAACCAAAAATGCGTACAGAAATAGAAAAGCAAAATCCGTAGGGAGCGCTTAGAGCGCACCAAGTGACGCGCTCTCAGCCCATCCCATGTGATCGTTGGGAGGCTCCCGAAGGAGCGTTCCTCAACTAGTTGCTCTTAGGATCCTATTTAGCGCTTCACATTTAATAGGAAAGAAGTTTCACCTCAGAGTAGCTTCTCCATGCACGGAAAGCATCTAAGGAATCCGATAACTTGATCCCGATTAGGGCCGATAGATTGTATTGTCAAGATCTTCACTGTGCGCACAGACTGGGTCAACTTTATGGAAATCGTTTTCTGGATGACAGTCAAACATACATCAAGAAAAAAATTAAAAATGTGAATATCAAGAAGAGGAAGAGTGTTGTACCTAAACGATTATGGATGCAATAACAAGTTCGAATAATTTGGCAAACGAGTAGGCCAACGTTGTCAATTCCAGTGCGTCAACGACCCTGATTTTTGTTGGACCTTCTAGATCAGATACAAGCAATCTCTCAAGGAAAGGAGCATTCTCAATGATCATTTCATGAAACATCTCAATTGATCTCTTCTCAAGTAATGTCTTGTTGCGGGGCCAGCAAGACACATAAATCCATCAGAGATTCGTCGAGGCGATGTGGAGGCTAATGAACTCGTGGATCTGTTGAAGACAAAGGTACTCGAGCGTCGTACAGTCACGGAGCAGGTGCTCCATAGCCTCCTTCGAGATGCCAATGTCAAAGAGGTCGAGCTGCTTGAGTTGAGAGAGAAGAAGAGCGGGCGCGGCATTAATCTGGGAAAAATAGCAGGAGCTGAACCTAGTGCGACGCAGTGCTGGCACGAGGTGGAGCGCTGATGGCGCCAGAGAGCGACATCGTCCACCTTCGAACCTGAGCTCCTCAAGTTGATCTAGGGCGGGGGATAAAAACCACTCGTCAAACTTGGCTTGGACCTTACAGTTGGTATTGAACATGCGGATGTCAAGGCGTCTGGCTAGCCCAGGGTGCGATGCAAGGATCTTGGAGACTGAGGCCATGCATTTGCAATCCCCATCGCAGAGGCAGCTGTCGACGGTGAGGTTAAGGGGGACGCAACACCAGAGGGGCGTCAACGCTGGGAGAGCAGGGTGGTCCGCACGCCAGATTTGGTGGGGAGGAGGGCAATGATGACGAGCAGCATGTCATCGGGGAGGATGTTGATAAAGTCCACGCTCGTCGGAGGCGGTTTTGGCTCGAGCCGCCTCCGCCTGTTGGCCGCCTTGTCGTCCATCTTAGTTGGTGTACACATGTACTGATGTGTATTGTGTGTTGGGTGTGCACGAGTGCGTCCTTGCATGCATGCCGCGCGGTGGTGTATGTGTGTTGTCGTAATGTGTGTATTAACACGAAAGAAGTGTGCGCTTAATTTAGTAGTGTGCGGGGTGCTACCGCGAGTGGTTTTTAGTTTGTTTATCTCACCCTATGGCAGATGGGCCTCTAGCTTATTTATTTTCACCCACTGCCACATAGGCCAGCACACCCAGATAGAGAACACGAGCTGACAAGGCACCATGTAGGCTGGTTGACCGGACAACTAAACAATATACGGAGCGATACGCTAAGCCAGTGACCATATAATCCCTTGGTAAAGAGAGATCGAGTGAGAGGACAGGCCCTTGAGAGACAGACAGATAGATAGATAGATAGATAGATAGATAGATAGATAGATAGATAGATAGATAGATAGATAGAGAGAGAGAGAGAGAGAAAGAGATATTCCCTCCGTTTGGTAATGTAGTGCCTATAATTTTTTGAAAAGTCAAACTTTAGAAATTTTGACCAAGTTTATAGAGAAATTACTTGTATCTACAATACCAAAGATATATGATACGAAACTACAATCTTGTGATGAATCTAATGATCATTCCAGATGTAAATGTTTTTCTCCACATATACCTGGTCAAACTTTTGTGAGGTTTGACTTTTCAAAACATCCATATGTTATGGACCTGGGAGAGTACCTAACTAGAGAGAGATCAAGTGTGTGTGAAAGAGAAAGAGTGAGTGTGCAAAAAGTGTGTGTGTGTGTGTGAAAGAGAAATTGACAACAAGAGGGAGAGGTCGAGAGAGACGTATGGAGAAAATGCAGACATGGGGAGGGAGAGAGTGTGTGTTTGTGATAGAGAGATCCCCTCGAGATCATGAGGGGACTATTGGGTGGGAGATCGAGTGATAAGGTGTGTGCGCGATAAAAAGATACCCCAAGAGAGATCGAGATAGACCTAGGGATGGAAGGAGACAATACGTGTGTTTATGATGGATAGTGAGAGATAGTCATACCTAGGGAGGAGTGCATGTTCCTATAATGGAGTGAGATATAGTGGTACTTACAGGGGGTGCGTGTTAGATAGAGAGAGAACAAGGGGGAGAGTGTTGGATGGGTTTATCTAGTGTGAGCGAGATATGTGTATGTGTGACCTAGGGGATATAAAGTTTGAGAGAGAAAGAGGAGCCCCGATAGGGATGAGTGGTACGTGAGAGAGTTGAGAGAGAGAAAGAGATACTCCCTCTGTTCTATAATGCAGTGCATATAAAAAAATTTGAAGTCAAACTTTGGAAAATTTGAGCAAGATAGAGAAAATTATTTATATCTACAACACTAAAGATACATCATATGAAAGTACATCTTGTGATGAATCTAATGATATATGTTTGTCGTTCTAGATGTAAATGTTTTTCTCCACATACCTGGTCAAACTTTGTGAGGTTTGAATTTTCAAAAAAAATCTATATGCTATGGACCGAAGAGAGTACCTAAGTCAAGAGAGATCAAGTGTGTGTGAAGGAGAAAGAGTTAGTGTGCAGAGAGAGAGAGAGAGAGAGAGAGAGAGAGAGAATGTGAAAGAGAAAGGGACAACATACGATAAAATAGAGACAAAGTGTGTGTGCCTTCACTACTAGGGAAAAGGCTAGCAGCAGCGCGGGTTTTAGATGTATCAGTAGCGCGGGGATAGGCGCTACTAATAAGGCGGTACAGCTAACACATAGCAGTAGCGCGTGCTCACCGGCGCTACTGCTACACAAGTGTAGCAGCAGCGCTGTTAGCGGAAGCTCGCTACTGCTAGTATCTCTAGCGCGCTTTGCCTGGACGCGCTGCTGCTATCGCGACGCTGTTGCTAACTTTTATACACTCGTTATTGCTAATTTAAGTAGTTTTTTGTTTTTTTTGGCATATTTGTTTTGTATTTGAACAAGCTTTATAGAAGAATCTTTAGCACATAGAAATCTCATCATGATACACATACAAATACCTGTGAGACCACAAATGTAATCATAGCATGTACATACAAATAGTCTCATCATAATCATCATCCAACACAGTGGTATCTTGTCATCATCTCGAAAATAGCAATACATGCAAGTCTCGAATACTTGCAACTACAACAATGTCATCCATCTAAACAAAGGTATATGCAAGAAGAGCTATCACTATGAGTGAGAGCGAAACTATGCAGTACATGAGGTGGCGGTTACGAGTCCTCTCTCGCGCTAGCGTGAACCTCAAGTAACTAGCTTCTCCTTCTTGTCTGCTTTTGAAGCCTTTATGGCTGGCGCCCGTGAACCCATTCACTTGCACCTGACACTCATGCCACTCGTTGTACACCCCCGGAACCTTCCCTTTGTACACGACATAGCAATTCCATCTCGCCATCAAGAAACTAGGTACCTGTTAGAGATGCATGTTCATGAAGAGGATGTACAATCATATATATGCAACAAAATATACTAGAGCAACACCGAAAAAGAAAGGGTTAGCAACTAGATGCAACATACAGTACACAAATTAATTAACTAGAGGTACGCAGGTCATCGTACGCAAACTAACAAAGTAGC